CGTTTTCAGATCGGAGAACTTCTCGCGGACTTGCTCTTCACCCAGGATGTCGTCAAGACGGCCAGGGGTAGCGACCAGAACGGTAGGGTTGCCGTTCATGAAGGCTTTGAGGTTAGAAGCACGGGAAGTGCCGCCGAACGCAGTGTGGCACTCCATCTTTTGAGGCAGACACGCTGTGACACCGTTGCACTCTTTCGCAATTTGTAGAGCTAACTCGCGCGTAGGACAGACGACGAGGATGGCGACCTTGCCTTTCCGAGGCATATTACCGGCTAGGAGGTTCTGGATCGCAGGTAGTAGGAAGGCTACTGTCTTGCCCGTACCTGTCTTTGCCTGTACAACGCAGTCGGAGGACAGTGTGGGTAGTTGGGTGAGAACCTTTTGTTGGACTGGAGACATAAACCTGTGGTAATTAGCAATAGCGTCAACAAAGAGCAGGGCGGAAAGAATCCTGCTTACTCAAAGCCCATCTTATCCAAGCCATTGAGCAATGCTGGGTGTAGCTTGTTCTTCAAATCGGAGAAAGGTTTCGGTGCCGCATCGCCAGCCGCAGTGCTGTACATCTGCCGCACGTCGACACCGGTCTCGGGCTTCGGCTGTGCATCTTCAACTCTAGGACGTTTTGGCTGCTGCGACATGGTCGAGCGAGGATTCGTAGGCCCGCCGCGCCCAGGGGCACCGTTCGCACGATCACCGCCGCCGCCACCTCCGCCTCTGCCGCGAGGCCACTTGCGCTTCGGTGGTGCAGACATGACTGAGAGTTGTGCTGGAGGTTGGGTGTAGTGTCTGTGTTGAGTGAGGGAGACGACTGTTGAGGCGTGGCTATGTTTTGTATTAGTTGCTAGAGACAGGCGCGATGGAATGAGGCGAGCAAGAGCAAGCGAGCGAGATGGAAGAGAGAGTGAAACTAGTTTCATTATCTTCATTCGTACATACAAAGTAAGTCTCACTGGAAGACCTAGAGAAAAGTAAAGAGATCGAGGGGTTGTGACAGAGTGGATGCCAAAAGTATTCAGCATCTAGTTTGTGTTGCCGCAAAAAGTTCAGCGCGCGACGTCAGTCTGTGCTTTCTCAATCTGCAAACTGAGTCAGCAGCCTGCTTGCCACCAACTCTACACCAAGAATCCGTCAAACCTAGCGTGACGACCACCCAGTCACGCAGATTTCTAGAACCGGTAGCCAGTTGGTTCAGGGACTCGCGATGTTCTGTCTGCTATATCCTTTTCGATGACCTCAGACTGCTGTAGCGCCTATCTTTCTCATGTGGTTACTCATCTTCTCGTGGTATCTATCGAAGAATCTCTTCACCTAGCTTGTAGTCTCCTCGATCTATTTGTCTTTGAGGTTTTGCACTGGAACTTCGCCTACAAGCTCCAAGATGAACATTGTCGTAGCAAAAGCTCAATGCCAAGCAATCCTTTCGGATTCAATCTGAAGCGTCAATCCTGATAAGGAAAATCGAAATACGGTACATCCATGTCATCGGAAGATTCTCTTCCAGTATTTCAAGCTGTGTTTTTTCGTACGAAACACTATGTTGTATGACATCACAAATTCAGAGACAAACACGAAACTCGCTCAGACCAGACTACACGGGTACTATCACCATGACTGCCCTTACATATAGTCCTCGCAACTACAAAGTCTCCAACTATCCTAAAGTTTTACTAGAGCCCGAGTAGAGGTACACAATGACTGGATAGTCAGTGCACACAATGGGACATAAATACTGCATGCCTTCAATGGGCTGATCAATGATGAATCGGATGGACATGGTAGAAACGAGTGTACTCTAATCATGACCACCAGAATGTCATATTGAGCACTCCACTACACTCGTCACCAGTCATATTGAAGGCAGTCAAGCAAAACCCATCGTCTCGATATCTTCACGTGTAATGCCGCCGAAATTGACCTGAAAATCATCAGCATCCACCTTTTCCATAAGCTCAAAGCCTGGATCCAGATAAGGGATATAAGCTCCGATGGGCCATGTCCAAAGTTGCTCGCGTGTTGATGTTTCAAGAATCGTAAGAAGGTGGAATTTTATGCGGAAATCTTTGCGGAACGTCTTAAAGAGCTGGTACATATATTGCGCGATGTGGTAAGGATCTATCGCATTGGCCTGATCCACAGAGGCCAAAGAAAACGAATAAGCTCGTGGGACGATGAGACATATCTCTATATCGCCGGTCGTACGTGGGTTCCGCATCTTGTCCATTGTCATCTCAAGGAATTTGACCAAGAGATGCCGTTCAGTCTCGTCTAGGGAAATGGGCGCCGCAGTATGGCAGTTCACAGCAATGTGTCTGAACCAGTTTCGTACATGTGTGCCGAGTTTGGGCGATCGTGAAGAACTTCCAAGTTCGTCGAAGATACTCTTGTAACGAGTGGGGCTGAGGTACTCGTAGAGAAGTATGTTGAGATCATGGGAGGTCGACTGTTTGACTCGCACCCAATCTTGCCTATCATCTGTTACAAATGGCGGATTGGCTTCAAGCCAGCGCTCGCCCCAGGTATACGTGTGAGCAAGTAACTGCAAAAGGCGAGGCAGTTGCTTGATGCCTTTCCAGTGTAAGTAGATGCGTGCTTCTTTCTCTCGGTCCAGTGCAATTAGGGCGTCGTCAGCAGCTTGCTGGATTTGGCGGCTGACTCCAGCGATGCCGCAATCGTATGCGATTGAGGGCCAGAGTGCATGTTCGAATCCAGGAATGTGATTCATAGCTATGCGATTTGCGTTCCACCTGTAAATTTCGAGTCGAAGTTCTTCTGGCAGAGCGGAGAAGGTTTTGGGGTCGCTGACCGGCGCTTTAGCGGGACAAATTCTCCTGCCTTTCCGTTTCCTTCCTACTGGGGTATCGCTGCCTTGACATATAGGAGTCTTTCGTTTTCGGTTCGCTGTTTCCTTGTAGTTGTTGCTGGCTTGTGGCGGAAGTGTGACCATGATGACGGTAGGAGAATGAAAGGAGGGGTACGCGGGAAGAGAAAAGGGTCGAAGATGAGGATGGGAGTGAGGAGATATACCAGGTCTCAGTGTGGCGAAGGCGATATATACGATACTTGGAGCAGGAGCGTATGGCTGCTTTCTGCATTACAACAGTACTTAGGTAACGACCATTGCGAATACATGGTATGCCATTGCAAGTACCTCGCCGATGTTCTGAGTTGCGCTCTGTCTTGTTCGAGCGCGTCTTTCCGTTTTGGCGTTGTTTGAATCGCAGTAGTTGTGAGTGGCTTTCCAGCCATGGGTCAGAGCAGAACCATAGCAGAGCAAACGTGTCTACTGAGCTACCTAGGTCCTGTTCACTTATTGGTAACGGTTCCGCTTTGGGTGGACCGTGGCTTACGGCTTCTGCCGTGGAAATCACTTTCGTGGTGGTAGTCTCTACTCTTCGAAACGTGAAGTGTGACCACCGGTTGTTTCGCACTAACAGCATATGATAAGCATTGCTGACCTGCTTGGCACAGAAGCTTAGCAACGATCACACGCTAGGACGCGGACGGCGTGATCGAGACCCAGCTGGTGCCGCGGTGGGCCTGTCCCCTCGCCAATGGCTAAACATGAATAGCATCTGGTGCCAGATTGCTAGCCCTGTCCAACAAATCCACTGATACTTGATGGTTTTCCTCACAACATCAGCTGCTTTCGCAAGCTTCGTAGCGCATATTTTGGTCGAATGTACCTAGAGCAAGCTTCAGTAGGCTGTCGGAGCGATGCCAGAAGACTCACTCGCATAGCATTAGGCCGAGTAGGCAGACGAAAAGAAGTGTGCAACGCAACCACAGCCTAGCGACCCAGCATCGGGGATCCGCATAGGTTGATCCGCGTATGGCGTGCATCGTGCATTGTGAGCACGGTGCCTCCCTCTGCGGGTAACTTTCTTGTATAGCTGGCGACGGACCCAAGTTGTTGGCCTACCCCTTCCACACATGGCTTGTCCTCACTCTTGAAGCTCCATCTGAACATCAATCTTTGGATGCTGTGGAGAACACGAAGCTTTTCCACATACAAAAGGTCCCCACTCTACGTCTCTCCATCGTGTCGCAGACCCTGTGTTCCTTTGACGACTTGGCAGCCAAGATCATTGCGGCTCTTGAACAAGCATTCTGCGCAACCCAAGCTGTACGTAACTGCTGATCCATCATTCATTCCATCCATTCCTTCGCGCCCCACAAGCTTCCCAACTGCTGTCCGCCTTGTGTCCGTCAAGTTAGCATCCATGGGGCGGCGCCGTGCACGGCGGCTTGTCTTTGCTCACGCTAGAGAGCACTGCCACCATCACCATCGTTGTTCCCCGCGTGGGACCGCGAGAAGGCCCCATATTGCCACTACTACGCAGAGTCGTCCGCAATGCTGACCAAAAGTGCGCGCTATCCAGTTGCTTCCTATCGACGTTGTCTAGTTGCACCACCACAGCCCCCAGTCCATCTGAGACAGTTGCGCGTCGCCGTTGCGTGCGCCAGCCCTGAAGCGACCGCCCCAGGACCACAACATCATACGTCGGACACCTGATCGCGTCCTTCATCGTCCCTGTTACACCTGCCACCGTGGCTAATCACGCAGAGTCATTCTCGCGATTCACCTACGTCCAGTCGCGCGTGCCTCCCGACACCGGTACCCGCACCTCGAACCCCTGCGCAACAGCCTTTCTCGGCCCTTCAAGCGGCGAGCTCGGTTTGACACATCTGTAGAGTCGCGTGGGCTCGCCGAGACGATTGTCGACATTGCGGATAGCCGCATGATGTGCGTGGTACACGGAGTATGACTTCCAGCCAGACACGTTCACCCGCTACTCCGTCCTCTCCAGTGTCGAGCAGATCGTTTCTATCTCGGCTCAAATCGCCCTTGACCTCCAAGACTCGCTATTACACCGAGTTTTATATCCAGTCCGACGACCCGCATCGGCATTACACTCCAGGAGACATAATTAGCGGGACCGTCATCATCAAGATTGTCAAACCCCTGAGAATCACTCATTTGGTTGTATCTCTACATGGCTATGCCCAGGTGTTCAAAAACCCAAATACTCCGGGGGGACGCCTACAAGAATTACTGTTCAACAGTCGGTTCTGGGAGAGGAACGAAGGCAGGGAGTTACTTTGGCAATGGATTCGTTTCGCTTTTCGAGGACGAGGTTGTGCTTTGCGGCGAGGGGAGACTGTCCGAGGGCGTATACCACTTCAACTTCGAACTCGAGTTTCCGTCCAAAGGCTTACCCAGCAGTATTGACGTAAGCAACAACGCAGTGCTGCAACTGACGAACATGCTGACAATAATGTACAGTTTGAGCGCGGAACAATTTCCTACATGCTCAATGCTACCTTGACCCGCCCCACTACCATATCGCCGACTGCGTCATGCGATACGAAGGTCTACCTTACCGAATCGGTCGATATCGCGCCCGTACCGCCGCTAAAGCCTCGTGTCATCTCATTGGAACCCATATCTAGACGAACGCGTGCTAGGTCGACGCGGAAACGACCAACTGAGGAGGCTCCACAGACACCTACCACTTCAGAACCTCAGCCAGTAGGGTCCGCTTTAGAAATAACAAATACTGTTGAGGAGACGGAGGGTCCCCGGAGCCCCTCGCCTAGCGACGTGAGCTATGAGAGTCAGAGAAGTAGCGGGAACGCTTCTGGCACCGAGTACGGCATTCGATCGATCAACACGGCTACAGACGGATCGGGCTCACAGAATGGAAGTCGAACGACCCTAAAAGGAAAGACAATCACAGCCACGATCGATGTACTAAAGGGAGGCTTTCTCAGAGGCGACCAAATACCTATCAAAGTCACTGTAAACCATACAAAGCACATACGAAGCTTGAAAGGCATTATCATCACGTTGTATCGTCAAGCAAGGGTAGACATGCATCCTGCGCTGCCTGTTGTACCCAACAGCAAAGGCGACAAGACCAAGTCCGAAGATTACTACCCGAAATCGAGAACTGGTTTAGGAGGCTTGTCTCTCTCATCGGCCGGATCCAGTCATTTGTTCCGGAAGGATTTATGCCAGTCATTCGCACCGCTCTTTGTTGATCCTAGGACGCTAACGGCTGAAGTGAAGTGTACAGTACGCGTGCCTGATGAGGCATTCCCCACAATATCAAACGTCCCAGGAGCGATGATATCCTTCAAGTACTACGTCGAAGTGGTTGTAGATATACAGGGCAAGTTGACAGGCCTTGACCGAATGGTATCTAATGCCGGGCTTGTCAATCTGCCTTCTGCAGCTGGTGGTACCTCAGCCATGACACGCGATGATGCTACTGGCAGCATGTTCTCAACCTGGGGAGGCAACTTTGTCGACACCGATCAGATTCGCCGCGAAAAGGGCATCGTTTCTGCTTTGTTCGAAGTTGTCATCGGTACCAGGGACAGCGATAGGAATGGCAAGAAGAAACAGACACAGGAACAGCCGGTCGACAACAATGGTGCCCATGAAGGACACATGGATCCAAATGCTCAACAGGGCTATGATCAGTACTATTACGAGCAAGACGAGAACGGACAATATTACGACTACAATTACGACCCAACGTATTACGAGGTTCCTGGATACGAACAACATAGCGCAGGCGGAGCTGCATCGTTCCCAGTACCTGCAGCTGTTCCCGAAGAAGAACAAGGGATATCGGAGAAAGAGCGGTTGCGAAGAGCAGAAGAGCGCTTACTACCATCTCAACCGCCCGATACTGCCGGACCGTCAGCACCTTCAGGAGCGGTCCAATACGGTATACCAGCGTCGGCGCCCTTGTTACCGGAAGATGACGATCCGAATCCCCCTTATGTCGCAGCATCTTCATCTTCCTCGACTCCCGCCCATCCTCCACCCCCATTTCGCGCGGCTTCCTCGCCGTCGTTGTCATCGGGCATGACACCCGTACCGCACTTGCAGCGCCGTATTACGAATATCACAGATGATGAGACAAGGACCATCAGAACTGAGTCCTCGCATACCATACATCCCAGTCACCCAGAACCATCCACCAATGGCGACAACAACGACCAGTCGAAACCACTACCGCCACTGCCACCACAACCGCCCACCACAGCACAAGGATCAGCACCAGAGTATGTTGCTAGTTCGTCATCGCATGTCGAACCCACCGACGACAAGCAAGAAATGCAGCGACGAAGACTAGAAATGGAAAGAAGTGCGCCGCCTACAGACCATGACGAAGACGGTGAGCCATCACATGGTCCTTCAGCACCGCCGCTCAATAGAATGCAAAGCTTGCACTTGGCGCCTTCGGCACCTATGCTGAACGATGACGACGAAGATCTCGTGGGCGCTGTACGTCCAGGTCGAAGTACGCAAGGTGGGCCACAGGATAGTAGGCGGGAAAGTGAAGCCTTGCCGGAATACCGGAGGTAACATGCATGATATTGGCGTTGTGGCGTTCGGGCACCGACTCTGCATAGAGTTAAGCGGTGCGCGTAGCCTCTGTCTACCTGGACGATATTTTGATTTACTAAAGCGCAAAGTGCTTGGAACGTGTTGGATGGGTTGCTCTTATGATACCTGGAATCGGATTACATTATTTTGATATTTAGTGTCTATTCTAATGAACAACTACGTCGTTGTTTTGCTGTGACTCTGCCTACGACGCTCAGACTTGGAAAGTCGCAATTCTGTATAGGAGCGCCGTTCTGCGACAAGGTTGCACACCCTCATTGTTCTTAGATTTATCGGGCTCACTTCATCTCTCTTAGTCGGCGGTCAACGACTGCCTCCAGATCACGAGAGTGCGCATGGTATATCTTTTGCAAGCTTGCTAGCTGCCTTGTCATAGCGGTCTCGATGCTAGTCTTTTGGTCGAATAGGTCTTGGAGGCGTTTGAGCTGCGCTTGGTGGGCTGTTGACCTGGGATACTGTTAGTCTATGGGGTAGTATGATTCTAATGCCTCGTTACTTACGCCTCTTGTTCGTGTGTGTCGTATACAATGTTGATGGACTCTTCGATATTGTCGTAATGGTTGTTGTAAGTCCTACCTACGTTTTTCTTTAACATGTCGTAACGCTTGCGTTGCTGCGCTCAGAATTAGCCTGATGCATCTAACGGCCTCAAGACGAGGCGACTTTGGGCCACTGATAGGAACATGAAGACGATAGTGTGTAGTTGCTGAATTCATCTAAACATACGTCCTCTACCATCTTCGCCATCAGGTGCTCCAGCGGGCCATCGGAAGTGTTCTGTGATGCTTGTGTCCCTTCGTGCCCTGAATCTTCGTCATCGCCTGCACTGTTGGCTTCGCCAGAATCGTCAAGCTCTTCTGCTTCGCCGATGATCTGTCTTCGGGACTGCTGTGCGCCCTGGCGAGTTGCGGCTATGGATGGGGTTGCGGAGGTGGATTTCTTGGATGCACGCGGTAGTGTCATGGCTGCTGTGGGTGAGTGTTGATGATTAGTGGCATGAAAAAACTTGTGATCAATTGGCTCGTTGCGTCGAGGCTTTTCTTGTTACAGCTCAAATGGTGAAGCTGGCCAGTTGGAAAGTGCTGGCTCGGAGCCTTGAGATGGGGAGAGCTGGCTTCCCCACATAGCGCCGAGATTCCGCGCTAGCGGGCATCCACAAATTTTTGGTCCTGTTTGCGGACTCCCGCTTTCCCTTCGACAATCGCAATATCGTTCACTCTGTCCAATATTCAGCATGGGTCTCGCAGCGCCGAAGAAGTATGTCTGCCAGTTCGACCCTGGCCAATCCCCGCATAGCTAACGCCACACCAGTCGATCAAAGATCGCCAACGATCCCCAAAATACTACTTGGGCGAACAACACGTCGCGCTTCGGCCATCGCATATTGACTTCGCAAGGATGGCAGCCCGGTAACTCTCTGGGAGCGACAGATGCCTCTCATGCCGCCCATTACACCGCTGCCTCACAATCGCATATTCGGGTGTTCCTCAAGGACGATAATCTTGGCTTGGGCGCAAAGCGAGGGAGTGAACGCGCGGAAAACTTTGGTCTTGCAGGTCTAGAGAGTATTCTTGGACGTCTAAATGGCAATGAGGCCGAAGTCAAGAAGGAAGAGGAAAGGCGAGAGGAGATTGAGAAGAGGGCGTTTGTGTACCGGAAGTACGGCATGATGAACTTCGTTAGCGGCGGCTTTCTGGTGGGCGACAAAATTACGAAAAGCTCTGATATCAAGAAGGAAGTGGAGATCAAGCCTGAGATCAAGTCTGAGCCAGAGAGCGACGATGGCGCATCGGACAAGAAAGACAAGAAAAGGAAGCGCGATGAGCGCACCGACGACGAGCCCAAGGTAAAGCGCAAGAAGAAGAGCCTGGACTTGCGCGACGAAGCACAGAAGGAGAGCGATGAATCCAAGTCGAAGAAGGACAAGAAAGACAAAAAGACAAGAAAGACAAAAAAGGACAAATCGAAGAAGTCGAAGCGGGCATCCTCATCAGATGCTGAATCCTCCACCGACGATGCCGCCACTTCAACGTCCGACCCAGAACCGCTTACGGATAAGGAACGCCGGAAAGCCGAGAAGAAGGCACGTAAGGAGGAGAAGAAGGCCAAGAAGGCTCTGAAGAAAGCTGCTAAGAAAGCAGCGAAAAAGGACAGCTCAGACGACTCCAGCTCTGAGAGTGAGGAGGATGAGAGTACGCCAACAACGATCTCATCGGTTCCTTTGTCAAAAACATCCACGCCGGTATCCGCTGGCCTAGCATACACTCCAAGAGGCATGCATGCCGTCAGGCAGAAATGGATCCGTCAGAAGAAGGCTGCGACTATGGATGCACAGGCCATGAGAGAGGTATGTCAACACCCTTTAATCCTTGTCCAGTCCTCACTAACATATTCGTAGATTTTTATGATTAAAACACCATCATAGATTCCTTCCATCCGAATTGTACATGCATAGCGAGGAGTTATTGGGTGTTGTTTGACAGGCACTTGCTAGAATCCATATTTACAGTCTCTGAAAATCACGATATCGGATATACGGATACCCTTTACATAACAACAAGTATAGCCTCTAGTCTTGATTCGTGTACCACGATTGCGTTGCGTGTTGTGGCTGTGCCTTGAGTAGATGTCGGGTTCCGACGATTTGTCGGACCCCGACGGCTGCGTGGCCCAAGTCGTCATATCTGGCTCCTTGCAGTTTACAGTCACCCAATGTATGAAATAATCGGGACTCAACAAGGGCCACTAGATATACTGCTATCTTGACACAACTACCACGCACCTACCTACAACTCTACAGCTGCATTATAATCCTAAGCATGCACAGCATTAGGAGAAATTTCTAACTGTTGTATGCAATATTTTATAGCTTTTTAGTAGTGCTGTATTACTAATAGCAGTGACTTAAGACATTTGGGAGTTCTGAATATTTAATACACCGGGTGACAGTTAATATAATATGAAAGTTCCCCGCATCTAAACCATCATTCTCTAGTGTCATGCCACCGGGCCGCTTCTTCAGCTTACTGCGGCTGTGAAGGATGAGTGCGGAACGACAAGGGGCTGTCTTGATATTGTTCGCGTGACTTGGTCAAAGAATCCGAAGCAAGCGTAGAACATGACTGCGCCAACGTTGAGCGCCGCGTCGTGTTACGCAGTACAGACGTAATTCTAGAGAGAGAGAGAGGAAGAGAGAGTAGGCAGTGCATGTCTTGGAAATGTCCGGGCAGCCATAGGGCGGTTCTAGAAAACAGGGATGTAAGATTAACCCCGACAGTTCCTGCATGGTGGAGCTGATCACTAGTCCGCCGTCGACTTAGCCCATGTATAATGACCTCGCCCAACTCTGGTACATGGCCCGCCCGTTGAGCACGACGCCTCCTTTGCCGTTGGCAGTTCCCCAATCTATTCACTCACGTTCACTTGTTACTTTTCACTTTTCTTCTTTTCGCAGTCATGGCAGCAAATAGCAGCATGCGCAGGAATACTGTGGTCGCGCCACGTAAGGCGGCTCCTTCCAGGTTGAAGGCTCAAGTCATGGCTAACCCGAACGCAGCGAGCCTTCACCCGCGCACGTCGTCGCATTCCACTCAGACACCCGAGCCCTCGCCCATAGAATCTATGCCCGCACAATTGGCCTCTAATATGCCCTCAATCACCTCCACAAAGCCGAACGGCGCTCCTGTGCTGCTCAGGAAGCAGTCGTCACCTATGATGCCTCCTTTCATGGTTTCTGCACCAGGCAAGGTCATCGTCTACGGAGAACATGCGGTAGTACACGGCAAGGTAGGCTCGATAGGTTGACCATCGCAAGACAGATGCTGATATCCTCCAGGCTGCCATCGCCGCTGCTATATCGCTCCGATCCTATCTCCACGTCTCGTTTCTCTCCAAATCAAATCGGACCGTTAAGCTGCGCTTCCCCGACATACAGATGGAACACACGTGGAATATCGATGACCTGCCCTGGGACAGCTTCTCTAAATCGGGCAAGAAGAAGTACTACTATGACCTCGTCACCTCCCTAGATCCCGACCTCATGGCCGCCATACAACCCTTGATAGATCAAGTATCACCAAAAGCCCCCGAGTCAATACGCAAGATCCATCATGCCTCCGCATGCTCTTTCTTGTACCTCTTCCTTTCTCTTGCGTCGCGCAAAGTGCCTCCCTGCGTTTACACGTTACGATCTACCATTCCCATTGGTGCAGGCTTGGGCAGCAGCGCCAGTATCTCCGTCTGTCTCAGTACGGCGATGCTCCTACAGATCCGCGCACTCAGCGGACCTCATCAGGATCAGCCGCCACAAGAGTGTGAGCTCAACATTGAGCGAATAAACCGATGGGCGTTCGTTGGCGAGATGTGCATACACGGAAATCCATCAGGTGTCGACAACACCGTCTCCTCAGGTGGTAAAGCAGTCTTGTTCCAGCGGAGGGATTACGACAAGCCACCTCTGGTCATCCCGCTGCATAGCTTTCCTGAGCTCCCACTACTGCTTGTCAACACACGACAATCTCGCAGTACAGCTACCGAGGTCGCCAAGGTGGCCAACCTACGCAACGTGCACCCCGCCCTTACGGAGAACATCCTCAACGCTATTGGATTGGTGACCGAATCTGCACACAAACTACTCACATCACCAGATTTCGACTCAACCTCTCCTGACGCACTAAAACACCTCGGCGAGCTCGTCACGATCAACCACGGCCTGCTCGTCTCATTGGGCGTCTCACACCCCAAACTCGAGCGTATCCGCGAAATCATTGATCATACTGGTATCGGGTGGACAAAACTCACAGGCGCAGGAGGCGGAGGATGTGCCATTACCATTCTCAAGCCCCAACCCCCAGCCCTTACCAACGGTCACGCGAATGGCATGCACCACGACATCTCATCGGACGAATCTGATACGTCTGATGAAGCGGATGTTGATTGCGCCGCATCCATAATCTCCA